CCTTAAGTCTCTTAGTTTAAAAGGAAGAGGAGCCTTGAAGAAAAATGGTTCTGGCAGGTTTCTTATCTAGGGTTCTGGAATTGTTTCCGCCTTGTTGAGAAATAACAATGGAGTTTTTGGCATAGAATGGTGAATTTACTCTTCTGTATTCCAAGTTGAACATAAAATTTATTTGAAATGGAACTTTATTTTTTGAAAAAAGAGAAACAGATATAACAAAATACATTTGTGTTGTGTAGTCTAGAAGTAATATGATTTTCCCCGTCCAGAGAAGATACTAGTTTTCCAGGAAGTGATTTGTCATGGTGCTCTTGGTTGGCTGCTCTTCACCTATAGCAGTATTGTAATGTCTCTTATTTCTCACAGCTTACGAATTCTTAACTGTTATTTGTTGAGCTTTGCTGCAACTTAAATATAACTGGTTTACCTGGAAATAAGAGAAAGTCTTGATATTTAAAACACGAGCAACTGTCATCCAACAGTGGGATGGTTTGTTGGGTTTTGTAATTGTTTGAGTTAATTCTTCTTGTATTACAGACAGTTTTAAGTTTTCTATCTTGAAGTTACTTATTGCTTGAAAGTAGTAATGGAGGCTGTTTTCTTTTGTAGGTTACTTGGCAGTTTCTTTATTTCTACATGAAAATCATGAACTGCTACTTCTGCTTGTGAACACAGTTGTGAAGGTACAGTGTTTTTGGAGGTCTGGAGGTAAACTAAACTTGGACCAATTTTTCCTGTTTTGTGTCACATGACATTTAAGCTACATATTCATTAGTTCTATCTTGCTCTCTTAAAGTTGCTGTTTCTTTGGTTAGCAATGAAAATTTGAAATAGCTTTCCCTGGCTTTTTAATTTAATCTTGGCATTCCTTCCTGCTGTTGAAGGCATATTTTAAGTTTTTTTCAAAGGAGATATACCATAAATATGCCTTTATAAAATGTACCAATTATATACATTCTCAACTCCAGGAGGAGCCATGCATTCATATTTCAGTTTAAACTTTTGCTTTTAGCTGACAGCAAGTATCTGTTGGCTTCTTTGAGCTCTTTTCATAGAAAATGGAAATATGCTTTGGAGTGACACTGAAAATCTGTTACCTAATAATATTTCATAGGTGTCATCTTCTGTATTACTGCCTCTTACATAGAGCAATTGTGACTTATTATAACTCTTTCTGCATAATGATTACTTTTATATTCTAGTAGGCCGGTGTCATGTAAATTATAGATGAAAGTAATGCTTATTTTGTTGTTGTGATTGAAAATGGTTTTATAATCTTTAAAAATCTGACTTGAAAGCAGTAAGGATATAGAAAAAAGTGAAAAGTGAGAGTCCACAAAGAACTAAACCAAAATGAGGACTAAAACCTATCTGGGACAAATGGCCAGAACAAATAATGATGTCAGTTGGAAGTGTTGCATGTTTCATTTGTGTTGAAAAATACTTCTAGTCTGTATTTCATGAATTCATCCATCTTTTTTTAGTTTAAGGTTACAGTGAGCTATATCTACTATTTTTAATTGTATTTGGGACAGGCTGTGAATTTTTATTCTTTCTTTTGTAGAATGTTATGTGTAATTTGCATTCACTTCTTAGGGAGTAGGTAATGTCTTATTTTAGTGTACAAATATGTAATTGTCAGTATTATTGAGCTTTCTCTTTTTTTTCTTTTTTTTTTAAATTCTTTGGGCTAGAACAAAGGCACTGGAGAGAATACTGTTGAATTCTGTGAGAAGTGACTCATCCCACTGATCCAACTGGGTACTCGGCATAGTTTTGCAGTCATCAAACTATTTCAGTAAACAAACATTGATTGTAGCTCTGTGTTAATTTCACATATGTTTAAAATATGAATGTAGTTCCATAACAGGAGTGTGAGTAGCTGCTTGTTCCTTCTTCCTATATGAGAAGAAAAGAACCCGATTAGCTCAGTGAGAGCTGACACTTCTCAAACACGAGCAGACAGCAGGATGGCTGGCAGCAGGATACTTGCTGTAGGTGGGCTGTGTAGGTGGGCTAGATCCAGCCTGTTTGTGAAAGATTTGGGGTATGTCAGTGCAGAATTTAAAAGTCTAAATAAAAAATTACTGTCTTATTTCCATGATTGTAACAGGATTTACAGAGCACTAATCTAGTAGAAGTGTGCATGGCATTAACCATTGTCAGCCAGATCTTTCCACGGGAGATGATTCCAGCTGTTCTTCCCCTAATAGAAGACAAGCTCCAGCATTCTAAGTACGTATTCACTTGCCCAAATTTCAAGTGGCCTTGTATGGTTGAATGACTTAATTTTGTAGGTAGTTTCAGTAAACTGATGTTTTTTCTCTGGGTTGGATCTCTCTAAACATTGCCTTCAGAAATTGTTCCTCTTCTAGTTTTCCTCTTGGATTCTTGTCTCATTTATTTGCAGTCTTGACTGAGTATTGGATACATATTAATATTTTCATAACCAGTTTTGATAGGTAAATGTAACTGAATTTATCTACTGGAGTCCTTTTAACAAATATGTGGATGAAGAAGTGTTTGTAGTGGAGTGGTAAGTGGGGAAACAGATTAGGATCCTTTAAGTACTTCACTGATACTTTTCTTTAAATAAAACTCTTTGTAGAAACTTCGTTGATAAAAGCCTGTCTGCAGGTATCAGTACACTTGAATTGTTTGATTCTTGATTTATAATATCCCATATACAGAGGATAACATTATAAGTGTTGTGTTGATTACAAGAGGAACTGCAGAATAGACTGACTCAGTAACTTCTAGATAGGTATTTTTTGGAGCTGCACATGTGTCCGCAACTGATGAGCAGTAGCCAATTTCATTGTTTATTTAGTAGCCATTCTTTTGAATTGTCAATCTGATGTAGAATCATAGACTCATAGAACCATTATGGTTGGAAGAGACCTCAAAGATCATCAAGTCCAACTGTATACCCAATGCCACCGTGCTCGCTAAACCCACTAAACCATGTCTCGAAGTGCCACATCTAAAATGTTTTTTGAACACCTCCAGGGATGGTGAGTCCACTCTTACAGTGAAGAAGTTCTTCCTAATATCCAGCCTGAACCTCCCCTGGCACAACTTGAGACCGTTTCCTCTTGTCCTATCGCTAGTTACTGGGGAGAAGAGACCAATCCCCACCTTGCTACAACCTCCTTTCAGGGTAGTTGTAGAGGGTCATAAGGTCTCCCCTCAGCCTCCTTTTCATCAGACTAAACAATCCCAGCTCCCTCAGCCGCTCCTCATAAGACTTGTTCTCCAGGCCCTTCACCAGCTTTGTTGCTCTTCTCTGGCCACGCTCCAGCACCTCAATATCCTTCTTGTAGTGAGGGGCTGAAACTGAACACAGTATTTGAGGTGCGGCCTCACCAGCGCAGAGTGCAAAGGGATGATCACTTCCCTAGTCCTGCTGGCCACGCTATTTCTGATACAGGCCAGGATGCTGTTGGCCTTTTTGGCCACCTAGGCACACTGCTGGCTCATGTTCAGCCAGCTGTCGACCAACACCCCCAGGTCTTTTTCTGCCGGGCAGCTTTCCAGACATCACACCTTACTACACTTTAAAGTTTGATCTGTCATTTCCACACTTAGATGATATTTGCAAAGTCATTTGTTATCAAAAATGTAAAACATGGGTTTTCATCTTTCTCCAAATCATGATGTTCTGATGTCTGGCCATGTAATTTCACATTGCTGTAGAAATAAAAAGTGCCAGTTGTTTTATTAAGTCAAGTACTTAAAATACACAAGCATCTTTATTTTGTTTTGTGTAAATCTAATTTATTTTCAGGGAAATTATCCGAAGAAAAGCTGTTCAAGCTTTATATAAATTCTATCTCATTGCTCCTAACCAAGTTCAACATATTCATGCTAAGTTCCGGAAAGCCTTATGTGACAGGGATGCTGGAGTTATGGCTGCTTCTTTGCATATTTATCTTCAAATGATTAAGGTGGGCAAAGAATTAGGAGCACAATTGAACTCGGGAGCTATTTTTATATATGTGTGTATATATATTTTATTTTAAATACACAGTGTAGTGTACAGAAGTTTTGCAGAAAAAGCTTGTAATCATTAGAAAAGTTAATTTGTGTGATCATGGATATCTGTTATTTTTGTTTGTGCTAGCTCTTCATTTAGCTTGACAGATCCAGCTCTTGCATGATCCGAATGCTCAGCACCATTGGCATTCTTAGCTAGAGGATCTAACTTCTACAGTGTGATAAAGGGTTTGCTGAAATTTGCTTGTAAATTTTTTTTTTTTTTTTTTTTAATGTTGCTTTCAAGTTACATTTATTCCCTTTGCAAATGTGTGAGAAAATAGCATAGGTTTAAAGTGAAGAGCTTACAGGTGTTGGGAAATGAGAGCAGAAGTTTGATTTGAAGAAATGAAACCATCAGTGTAGGTATTTTGATCTTACTCAAGTTGTGGATTATTTTTATGTTTGAGGTGCTGTATCAAAGTATTTGAATTGTATTTCTTTTTCATTATGTAGGAAAACTCATCTGGATACAAGGACTTGACTGGGAGTTTTGTAACCATCCTAAAGCAGGTAGTGGGAGGAAAGCTCCCTATTGACTTCAACTATCACAGTGTGCCAGCACCATGGTTACAAATTCAGCTTTTAAGAATATTGGGGCTGTTAGGAAAAGATGATCCAAGGTAACCAGGTCTTTCTCTGTAATTAATATTTTGAAGGTACAAAGAATATAGTCATGACCTGTGCCTCATAGACAGCTTTCTGTTCTGTTTTTTTTGTAAGAGGATTTTGGTGTTGAACTTCTTACAGTTTTGTTATTAACCAGTACAGTAAGCGGATACTTTTTAAACTGCAAAATTAGTTTCTTAGCTTCTGGATTGGCTAAACAATTGATTATTGTGGAATATGCTTGAAATTTATTTTTGCTGAGACTTCTGTTACTAGGCTACCAAACAACTGTGTGAAAATCCAGAGTAAAGGTATATTAAAAAGTGCGGTCATTTTTTGAGGACCTAGTTGTCTGTGATCCTTTTCCTGTTGTTTTTTTTTTTTTATACAAGCAGGGAGGGAAGTGTTTTTATTCTGGTGATATGGTAAATGTTTCTTCTGAAAGCTGCAAACATCTTGTTAGATGCCATTTAGAAACATGTTACAGAGCTCTCCCATGTTAATGTGAATCTGTGGATGTGAATAATTTGTTACAAATTTCAATACTAGTGTTTAAGCTGTTTGGCAAAATAAGACTATGTGCTTGTTAGTGTTGCAAATATAATTTTAAAAATTTGTTTTCTTGTTAAACAGGACAAGTGAATTGATGTATGATGTTCTAGATGAGTCTTTAAGAAGAGCAGAGATAAATCATAATATTACATACGGTGAGTGAGGTTATTTTATGTAATTATCAGTATTTGGAAAGATTGAAAATATCAGTAGTTGATCATGCTAAAATACTTATGCAGTACTTTTGAAAAATCTGATTATATTCTTAATAAACAACAACTGTATTCTTAAGTGTCCAACTAGTAAATTGTAAAACAAGCGATACATTGCTGTACAGTGCAGTGCAGCTTTTTTATCATTGAAGTAAAACATTTTTATTTACTGGGAATTCATTTGACTCAAAAGCCTCTATCCTATGTTTGCGTTGTCCTTGCCCTTAAATACAGAAAGTCAGCTTCTTCACGAAAGCTCTTATTGAACATTGCTTAAGTTGAAATAAATGGTAAAAGAAAAATCCTAGTGATACAGCTCTGTTTATTAGAAATGCTTAGGTCTTCTTTTCACTGCCCTGAAAAAGGCAATAAAAAGTTTGCAAGAGTGTCTGCATCTGTTCTTTACAGCTGTGTAGGGCTTTTCCTCTAGCCACAGTTAATAAAAATTACACCTCCAGAGTTCAGTGATAGTGGTGCCTGTGAAAAGATGTTCTTGGCACACATCTCAATTTAAAATTTCTAGAATGTGGTAGGCGGCTATGTTAATTTCATTATCTTCTCAGTAGAGAAAGCTGTATTTGTTGCTAGAACAAAGCAAAAGCAATAATTACACTGTCAAATTTTTTATAATAAAAAGTTGAGCAATTTATTTGGATTTTTATTTACCTTCCCCTCCCCAGGTCTTAATACCTCCCCAAACGCCCAGATCTGATATTCTAGAACCCTACATTAAGACCTGTTTCACTATCAAAAAAAACCCCTAAACACTCCTGTTATTTTATTTTTAAAGTAAAGCCGAAATACCTGTGCTAATGGAATGGAAAGAAAATTGGGACTTTTTTAAAACAACACTGGGGCGGCGGCTGGGAAGGAACATGGCCCAAAGCTGTAGATGTCTAATGTCTACTTGATGCATATTTTGTAAGGCATTGTGTAAGCTTCACTTCCACTAAAAAGGGAGCCTTTGGGGAAGTATTCTCTTTTAGTAAATAACAAATGCAGAAGCATCTGTCAGATGCTTAGTGTATTCAGTGTATTGCTTCTATTCTTTTAGGCAATAACATACAAGACATTGTGAGGTGTGTTACCTTGTAATACAGACAATTTGCAATTGGAATTGCTAAGAGTTAAACATTAAATTTGTTTTAAGCACTTAAGCGGCCTAAGTGGGCAGTTTATTATGATTTATACAAGGACATAGAATTTAGGTACGTAGCTTTTGTTCACGTATGATAAGCTTTTTATAAAACATTAGTTTATGATCCCAGACAAAAGAAAAATGTAATTCTGAGTGCTTACTCTTTCTTACACGAAGTCCTTGGTTACTGCATGTTTCTTGCTTCTTGTAGTCAGTCGAGTTGCTAATATGCTAGTCTTTCTCGGATTTAGTTTTGTAATGCTTAAGAAGAGTAAATGGTTGTCTATTGGACAATTCAGTTAGAGACTGAATTACAAGAACAACTGACAATTACATCATGATTTTAAATGCCAGTTAACTTGGGGAGAGTAACTTGGTCTGAATTTTTGTCCAAATTGCTGCTATAAAGGGTTAATTACTTTTGGTGTGTTGTTCAGTTTACTTCTGTCTTTTTCTCAAACTATACGAAGTTGGTTTTGTTTTGTTTTTAAGAGTGTTCTTGGGATGATTTTGGCTGTTGGTAGTAGCTAAGAAATCATATGAATTATTGAAAAAAATTTTATCTCAGATCCTTTATAATTGCCCATTGGCTTTGGCTTTCTAAAGACTGTCCCGGTCCAGTCCATTGAGCAACTATAGGAGACTTCATGGTTGGAAGAACTTTAAGGGCAGAAAGTTGTATGCACAATGGCAAAGGCTAATAAAAGATATGTATATGCTGTTTTTACTTATGTCAGTAGGTACTCTGCAGTTAGATTCAGTGGGAGTGGGACAGCATTGCAATTCCTTGGTACAGTCAAGGATCTTGTTTGCTTGTTAAAATTTTTTGCATTATAGATGTATTTCATACACATTAATTACATGTCTTTTCTTCCTCCCCCCACAGCCATCTTGTTTGAATGTGTCCAAACAATTTATACAATTTATCCCAAGTCTGAACTACTTGAAAAGGCTGCCAAATGCATTGGAAAATTTGTTTTGTCACCCAAAATTAATTTGAAATACTTAGGTAAGGATACCTGGTTTCGTTAAGATGTTTTAAATTTGGTCATAGCAGTACACATTCTTTTATATCACTTCCAATCACTTATATTCTAGGTTTAAAGGCTCTGACCTATGTTATCCAGCAGGATCCTAATCTGGCACTTCAGCACCAGATGACAATAATTGAATGTCTGGACCATCCAGATCCCATTATTAAAAGGGAGGTCAGTGAATTTTTAAACATCAAAAATTAAGTTAATTTTTAAGATGGGTGATAGTTTTTCTAAAACACGTAGTGTAAAAGGCATATTATGTCTTGGTTATTGTGAGAGAGCAGTTACAAACCGTATTAATGTATGAGCTGCGTAGATAAGCAGTGTATTTCATTTAAGACTTGCCAAATAAAGACAGTTGCTCAATTTGGCATCATACTAAAGTGTTTCTGTTTGCCTGCTTCCTTTTTTGAGTCACCAGCGCCAATTACATGTATTTTTTGCTTTCTCTTTCAGACTTTAGAGCTTCTCTATAGAATTACAAATGGACAGAATGTAATTGTCATAGTTCAGAAGATGCTTGACTACTTAAAAGAAAGCAAAGAAGAATACGCTGTCATCAACTTAGCTGGCAAAATAGCGGAACTAGCTGAGAAATATCCTTTTAATTCTGAAATTTTGGAGTCAGAACTCAGGCAAATGTAGCATTTGTACCTTTCAAAGCATCTTTCATCATCTTTTGAAATAGGAAGTGTTACAGCTGTGCTTTCCACTCTTTCAAGTGCAAAAAAAAATGCAAAAGAAAATACATACAAAAATGACCACAGTGTTTCTTGTATTTCACTGAGAGAAAGTACTGGCGCTCAAAATACTTTTCTTTTAGCTTTGGAGTTTAGCATTAAAACGTTGTGTTTTTAAAGTAAAACTTTGAAGTCTTACACCACTGCGTGGACAGAGGTGCTTCAGTGCTATATTAAGTGCTGTTCTGTAATTGTGGGAGTGATCTTCCTATTGGAGAATTCTTCATTGTTGTATGGATTTTAAGAATTTCATAGAAATAAAGAAAAGATTCTTTAACTGTGCCAAAAAGATGGAAATTATGATTAGGGATTTGGCATATGGTGGACATTGCTGTTAGTCTTGCCATTGCCTGATTTTCTGTATGTATTCTTGTCTGATAATTTGAGTTGTAAGCTCTTTATAAGAGACCTACCTTTCCATCCTGTTTGTATACTGCTTGACACAGAGGGTAGTGTACAAAAAAAAAGCTGTGTTGTCATGTGGTGTGCAGAAATAAGACAATAATATTAGTGTTTCTGTACTGTTGAAAATTTCCATTCAATTAAGTGTGCATTTTCAGGATTTATTTGAGGGAAGGCAGAAGCTAACTTCCAGAGTTAGCAAAGGCTGATCAAATTTTAAATACATAAAAAACGCCAATGTTGCTTTCGTAGAATACTTCAAAATATTTATTGTTTTTCAGGAAATCAACAGCAAAACACTGCTGAAAAGAACAGCTAGTCTGTCATTGATCAAGTGGTACTGGGTAAACAAACTCAAAAGATTATGCTGGAAAGACAGCATGGAACAAGTGTGAACTTAAAATACAACGAGACAGGTTTCCAGAGCTAAATGGTTGTGTAAACATGTCTGTTCCTACTGTGTGAAGTCTACTTAAACTCGTATTTTTCACTCTAACATTTATTCATGCACAACTTAAGATGCATTGATTGACAAGCCAGCAAATTGCACATAACGGATAGCTATTAAGTTAATGCGCAGGCTGTTTCAACACGGCAGTAACTTAAGACTTCTCTACCTGACCGCCAGTTTTCATGAAGTTTACAGGAAACACTTTATAAAAGGTACAGGACTATTTCTTCTTCAGTTAGGTTGAGCTGATATTGGACCATCAGGCGCCCAACTTCATGGGGAGAGCAAGATGGGTAACTTATTTGTGGAAAATTTGTTTCCTTAGGAAATGCACTAAAAAAGAAAGAAAAAGTTATGCCTTAGCACTTCATTCCTTAACATCTGGACACGTATGCCCCTGACAATGAGTGGTTCATCCAAACAATGAATGCTGTTTTTTCAGTTGGAGGTGATGTCGTGCATCCTGATATCCCAAACAACTTTCTGAGGTTGTTGGCTGAAGGTGGGTAACTCCCCAAATGCTCTGAAGAATTAGTCGTGTTCCTTGATCATCTGGCTTTTTTTCTTAAAAATATTTGATGGGAGGTGCTACTTCTGTTTCAGGCAAAGTATGTATTGTTTTCTGTCTAGGATTTGATGATGGAAAAGATGATGACCAGCTACGGATATATGCAGTACAGTCTTATTTAGCATTACTTGAAGAGGAGGATGCACTGTATCCACAAAAATTCCTTCAAGTTATGAGTTGGGTAAGGTAGACACATGGTCAAAATTAAATACACAGATATGAGGAAACTGTCAAAGGTGGTGATGTTTTTAATAAATATTTTTAACTGTTTTCTTTTTAGTCACGAACATTCTGTTTTTATTTGAAGTCAAGATAATATGCTGAAATCTATTTTTAGTGACCTCTTTCGGTGCCTGAGGACTACTTAGCTTGTCATAGTTTGTGGAAAAGCTGACTGGCTACCTTTAAGGCAGGTGACTATTGGAATGGCTTAGTAGCCACAGGAATCTGACTGCATGCTGAGAGCCTTTCTGCCTTCATCAGAATTAGGGCAGATGTGGTTGTGAAATGCCTTTTTAGCCTTGCAGGTGACTGGCCAAGTGCTGGCTATGCTAGTATTGTCTGGTACCTGAGTAAGCTTCAGCTTTCACCCAAGGAAGAGGCTGCAGTATGAGCAAATCATGTTTTGTCAGGATCTAATTGCTATGTTTAGCTTTCTTTTCAAGACAGCTATTTGATTTTTTTTTTTTTTTTTAAGAAGCTGAAAGTTGGAGTCTGCTGAGATAAACACAAAGATCGTTTCGAACCTTTGACATTTAAAACACAAGATAGTAAAGAAATACTTTAGAACATGTTTAAGAATAGTTTCTGGAACATGAGGTGGATTTTATTGTGTTATTATTTAGTACTACGTTCTAATTTAAAAACTGAGAGCACTGCTCTGTGTGACTAAGTGCGTATTTTGTCTATTCTTTGTGAATAGGTGTTGGGGGAATATTCCAGCCTTGTTGCAGATGTTGATCCAGAAGTTATTTTGACAAAGCTGCACAGCCTACTAAAGAAGACTTTTGCTACTTCTGAAACTAAAGTTTGGATAATGGCTGCAGTCACCAAGATAGCATCACATACCTCCTGTTCAAGAACAGTTGACAGACTAATCCAAGAATTCAGCAACTCTCTAGATACCTGCATGAGACAATATGCCTTTGAATTGAAGCATTTGTGTGAAGACAAAGCACTGATGAAAAAGTTGCTTCCATTTGATGCTAGTTGCAATGACATGGTGGTAAGACAGCTGCAATGTGTGTTCTTCATCAACCTCTTGTAGTTCAGGGGATTGAATATTTTGGTAAAAAAGTCTTCTCAGAATGAATGATATTTTACAGTTCTGACTCGTGCCAGTCTTCAGTCTGCTTAAAGTGAGTTTTCAGAAACATACTTTTTCAGGCATATGTGATGAATCATAATGTTCTATAGTGAAAAATAAAGAACCATGGTGTTTGGTTAGTAAGCTGGAGTAGCTTTTAACAAAATTAGGATCTCATAGACAAATTAATTTTTTTGTTGTCTTTTTAAAGACAAGTTAGGCCTGCTTTAGTGGTACGGTACTCTGCTTTTTAATTCAAAAGATTTGCCTCCTATTTAGAAACTACTGATCTTGACACTGAAATGTCCATAATAAATGATGGGAATTAGTATTGATATTGCTGGTGTTTTTGAGGGGGACTTTTTGAATTCAATATTTTCATATAATGGTAGGATTAACCATTTTGGGAAGACTCCATTTTGCTTTTTTTCTTTTTTCCTTTTTTTTCTTGTTGAGACAAAAAAAAATCAATAGCAGAGGAGTTAATTTAAGTTATGAATCTCTAGCTTAAAGTCTGTTTCAACATGCGTGCTTAACAATTTCTGTTAATACAGCAGCTTTACTGGTAGATACAGGCGCTCTGAGGCAGAAGATCCTGGTTTGCTGATAAGACACAATATTCTTCTGGTGACATCAGGTTTATATATAGATAATATTTTCATTGCTTTCTCACTTTTCTTAATTCTGTGTAGGTAGATGCTTCGTTATCTTTTCTGGATGGGTTTGTGGCTGAGGGACTGGGTCGTGGTGCAGCACCGTATAAGCCTCATCACCAGAGACAAGAGGAGAAACTTTCCCAAGAAAAAGGTGACTTAGTTTACTGCATTTAATAAATAGATTGTTTGTTAATACTTACCAGGTAATTTACCAGCTAAGTGTACAGTTAATATTCTTTCTTCAGTAATGTTAATATTAATACATCTCTTGTCTATAGACTTAGCTATGTTCAGCTTTGAGTTCCACTTCTGTCTAGCTGGTGTATATATAACTGTTCATTTATCAGAGGTTGCTGTTCTGCAGATGAGAATGTTTTACTATAATCTCTGCTGGTCTATAGGATTTGAAATTCATGGGGATTATTAAAGTGAAACCAGAGGGTTCCTGACTTTACTATACTGAGCACTGAGTCTTGACTGTGGAATTACAGTTTGCAATAATAACCATTGTGAACTTATTTTATGACACAAATCTTACATTTCTTACCTAGTGTGGGTAGAAATAAGACAGCACAATGTGCTTTTATTTATTTATTTAAAAATACCTCAAAACTTTACCTATAGTACATTTTTTTATTTTTACTTTTTTGCCGTAGAAGTACTAGTTTACTTTATTATAGCCAGTCACATAAGGATTTCTTTTAGACACTTCTGAATGATTCACTTTGAGGTTGCAAAGCTTTTCTAAAATATTCCTCAGGATTACTTTACTGTTGAGGAATTAGAAAAATGAGTCTTGTACACTGCATTCTCTACAATTAAGTTATTATTTTTAAAAGATTATTTTGACTGTGCAGGTTAATGGATACAATAAATAGTATTGTCGATTTGCTTGCATGTGTAGCTTGGCAGAATTTAACACTCTTCTGAGATAATTATAAATTAAGAGCATTACATCTGCAGCCTCCACTTTAAGCCTGCTAGAAAATTCAAAATTTTAGTGGAAAAATGTTGGACAAAGTCAAATATGTCGAAACTGAATATTCTATGTTGTTTTTTCCATGCATGTAAACCCCTACTGTATATCAGATTGAACTCATAATACTGCTTCATACTGAGGTGTTGAGGACGAAATTAGTGGTCTTTAATGCTGAAGACCATCCGTTTAGCACTTTGCTGTTTGCAGTGTTCTTACAGTTTTGTAGGGAAGTCATTGTAGGAACTACATTACGAATTGCTGTTTTTTCTCATCAATCCCAAGCACAAATACAGGCTGGGTGGAGAATGCATTGAGAGCAGCCCTGAGGAAAAGGACTTGGGGGCGTTGGTTGACCAGAAGCTCAACATGACCCAGCAATGTGCACTGGCAGCCCAGAAAGCCAACCGTACCCTGGGCTGCATCCAAAGCAGCGTGACCAGCAGGTTGAGGGAGGGGATTCTCCCCCTCTGCTCTGCTCTTGTGAGACACCACCTGCAGTACTGCCTTCAGCTCTGGGGACCCCAGCACAAGAGGGACATGGACCTGTTGGAGCGAGTCCAGAGGAGGGCCATGAAGATGATCTGAGGGCTGGAGCACCTCTCCTGGGAAGACAAGCTGAGAGGGTTGGGGTTGTTCAGCCTGGAGAAGAGAAGGCTCCAGGGAGACCTTAGAGCAGCCTTCCAGTACCTAAAGGAGGCCTACAAGAAAGCTGGGGAGGGACTTTTTACGCTGTCAGGGAGTGATAGGACAAGGGGCAATGGCTTGAAATTGGAAGAGGGAAGATTTAGATTAGATGTAAGGAAGAAATTCCTCACGGTGAAGATGGTGAGGCACTGGCACAGGTTGCCCAGAGAAGCTGTTGATGCCCCATCCCTGGGAGTGTTCAAGGCCAGGTTGGATGGGGCTTTGAGCAACCTGGTCTGGTGGAAGGTGTCCCTGTCCATGGCAGAGGAGTTGGAACTAGATGATCTTTAAGGTCCCTTCCGACCCAAACCATTCTATGATTCTATGATTATAAGTACTGATTTGCATCTTCCACTCGTTCGTAAATATTCTAGGAGGTAAGGTATAGGCAAGGTAGAATATTCACAAATATTCTAGAAGGGGAGTCCACTGAGTTTATTGAAATTCTTTCTTTATAGATAACTTAATTTATGGGTTGGTAGAGTTTGAATATCTTTATGTGGATGCTTTTTATCACAAAAGCCCTTGGATCTCTGTTCCTTCTTGCTTCTTTATGGGACAGGACACTTCTTGGCACTGCCTCCTCCTTTATTGGGAGACTTCTCTCATCCCAGATGCCCAACAGCTTTGCCCTGCTGCTTCACTTTGCTGGGAAGAAGAAAGCGTAAGGCTGGGGTGGAGATGAGGGAGAGGGACTGTACCCCTTGATAGTTCCAGGGCTGCAAAGGAGAGTCTGCGCTCTGCTTCGTACGTAACAATGACTATTTCTGTTATAGTCCAAAACAGTTTTTAGAAGCTATTCAAACTACGTTTTGATTCGTAAAGCATAGCTAAGATGGCTGGTTCTGAATCCTGATTTGCAAGTCTTAGTAAAAGTGATTTATCACCCAAGGTGTCGAGTACATTTGCAAAGCAGACAGTGATATATGAACACAATGCTGTGGACTCAAAATGTTATTTAGGCTTATGAAAAAATGGAAAAGCTCACTTATTTAGGTCCAATACAGTACTTTTGTCTACAAGTACTAAGTATCAGCAGATGTTTTAGTGATATGCTGTAAAGTCACTATTTCTGTTTAATTTCAGTATTTCAAACCAAATGCCAAATGAATACATGTTTTAGATAAATCCTCTGTGTGTCTAAAAAACTTATTGGAGAACAGAAACATCCATTTTTAATGAGGATCCTATCCTGAACGGGAAGCCTGAAAAGTGCAGTAATACAGTATATCTATTTTCAGAAAACAGATTTCTTTCTTACCTTTTTGTACCTCGTTATAATTTTAAGATTCTGTCTGTCTTGCAGCTCTGAATTTTGAACCTTATGGATTGTCATTTGCTTCAAGTGTGTCTTCCTCTGGCATCACCGGCAGACAGTCCCCCACTGGTTTATCTTTTGGTTCTGATACGTCTGGTAACAGTGCTGAGACAGGGCATAAAGAGTGAGTTCATTTGTGTTTGAAATTAAGTACATTTAAGCTTCTGTTCTTGTCAGTATCGTGTATCTTTGCTTCTTCATTACATGGAGCTAAAATGTTGAACTTGGAAAACTCTATTGTGTAAGAAGAAATTCAGATGGCACCTTCTTTGAAATAAGTAGGAAAAAAGGTAATGCAGTTAAGACTGTTTTTCTGCTTTCTTCACGAACTACAAATTAAGTGATAGTTAATGCAGTAAAACTGGGACAGGATTACTTGATTTTACATATTTTTTTCTCTGGCTGCTTTTTCTTACAGGCTATGCTTACTTTTTATGGGCTTACAATAATATACCTTTTAAGGAATCTTTTTTAGATACACTGTGAATCTTAGCCTCACTTTTAAGATACTCCTTAAGTTTTTGAACACTACAAATAAATTCTGTATTCATAGTTTCATACAAATTAATAATTTCATTTATACTCTGGTAAATTGGTATGCAGGAAACCTTGGAAGCTTTTTCAGATTCTTTAACCAGTTTGTGTAAGAAAATTTGATTGAGGCTTTTAGGTGTAGGACTTGCAGCATTTAACCTGAATCTGTTGAATTAACTTCTGCTAGAGTTCAGGGTGTCTGAATGCATGAACACTTTTCATAAGAAGTAAAAATACTTTCTAGTTGTCTTCTAATTTTCAGTCTCTTACATTAACTTAAATTATTTTTTAAGGAATCGGCAATAGAACTATCAGCAATAGAATATACTTAGAGATTCCCAGAATCTTTCTCCTGGGGAGAAAGATAGATACCATGTTCCTTGTATTCACTTTTTAAAAATTATTCAAATGCATTATAAACTTAATCTGAAACTCTGGATGGAGTTGGCAAATGCAGTCTACTACTGGCTACAGGTGTCTAATGCTGACTTAGTATAGGTCTATACTTAGGACTATATAGCCTAGTCCAAGTTTTGCATTTGTGGGGTGTTTTAGAAGTAATGAATGACATTGCTAACATAGAACCTCATGCAGATGCAAAAGTGTTCATTTATATTCCACTGCTCACTGTGTATATCAAAGTACTGAAGTTGTGAATGGTGTATGAAGTAGAGTGTTGGCATGTTTTTAAGAACGTGATATTCATATGGTTGATCCTGGTTTGTTTTGTATGCCTTTTTAGGACAAATACTCTGAAACTTGAGGGAGTACGCAAGCTATGGGGAAAAGAAGGCTATCTTCCAAAGAAAGAAAACAAAGGAGGGAAAGAAAATGAGCCACAAACTGTTTCTTGTGGCAGCTTATTAGCAGGACAGTTGGATGATCCTCCTGCATTGTGGTCTGGTCAGGTTGCCAGCCTCTCTGAGGAGGACAAAGAGAAACAGCAGTTAGCATCAACTTTGTTTGTTGGGCTAGGATCAAATGCTGGTGTCAGTCTGGTAAGTGGTTCTTTTGAGTCTTACCAGTTTAAAGTTTATATATTGCCTTATTTAGAATTACAGATATTTATATGAAAATGGAGATCAAAATAGTGTTGTAGTAAAATGAGGCAAAAAAACACGAGTCATTGAAGAAGTATTGAAAATTACTTTTGTAATCTGATAATTTGTTAAGAACCTGAAACGGGTTGGATATTACTTGATGAAGCAACCTCTGGAGCAGATCTGATTCAGTAACTAGAACTTCCCTCTGTTTACGTTTTGCACTTCAAGTTTTAGTCTGTTTTCCCTAACAATTGTTCCTTGACCCAACTTTACAGAGCTGTTGGCATTCATTTGGCAGTAAGGCTAGAGTTTGACAACCTATGTCAAGACCATTTTTTATTTATGCATGATAATAGCAGAACATTAAAGAATTCACTGTTAGGTAATCTTTTTAAGACTGGCATTATCGTATTAACCAGCTCAAATCTTGGTATTTATCAGTGGTTTAACCAGAAAATGTTTACCTGTGCTTGCTTTTTAATAGCAGCTTTTAGTTTATGTTTTAGAGAACCTAGAATCATTCTTACATTATAGGGTAATCCAATACCCTGTAAGAAATACAACAAAGGCCTGTTACTGGATCCATTAAAATGTTTGGAATCTATTTGTATTTGTCATCTGAATTGATTCCTTGGTCATTATTTGTCATTGCTCATTCTGTTTCATGGTGTTAACGGTAACACAACTGGGTACTAGAAACTTCCCCACCCATTTTTTTTTTTCCATTTACTTTTCAGATGGGAAAAGCAGACACAGCTACTCAGAATTTCAAAAGAAAATCAAAAATAAATGAAACTCAAAGTAGTGAGGAGGCATCAGACTTTCAAAGTAGTGCTGCTTCAGATCTTGGTCCTTCACTTGATACAGTACCTATTCACACGGAAGACTGTGAGGGAAACACACACACAAGGTTAAGGAAAGTCTCCCTCTGTTCGTCCGATATTATAGAAGATAATTTAGCATTTGAAACACCTCAGTCCCTCAAAAAATCTGGGCTGGATGACAGACTTTCAGACAGTAGGCTGTCACAGTCGTCTTTGTTTGCTGATAGTAATATTGAAATTTTTCAGCCTTCTCGAAGTGCTCAGTGTGAAAGTGCCAGTAAAACACCATTGGTCCCTTCCTTACCAGAAGAGCTGGAAGAGCTCGCTCACTCTGAAATAGTGGAACTTTGTCAGAGTGATGTCTTAGTTCTGTATTTGTGTAAGGTGTGGACAGATGACTCTCTGTTGCTTTCTGTTTTTGTTTCAAATAAAACCACTTCTGCACTTAATGCCGTGAACTTAGTGTTTGAAGAAGCAGAACATTTTCAGGTAAGAAACTTTATTTCAATTATATTTCAAATTCACTTGGAACTTCTTGCTTTTTGCTTGCATTTAAGTGTGCAGTATTTGGTTTAATGTAGTAGTCATGCCTTTTCCCCCAAGCTTTTCTTTAAAACCTGTGGTATGGTTATTAGACATATCCTAAAGGGTAGTGAAAGAAGTCTCAATGCCAAACTTAGTGTCATTTAGTGTAAAAGTTAGCATCTCACTTTTTTAATTCAGCTTGATTTTGTTTCCTACTGCTTGCCTCCATATAACAAATATGTATGATTTTTCTTGCTTTTAGCATATAGCTTGGGGTATGTTGCAATGTTGCTTGCTCTTGTATATTAGTTTATTTTGGGACTGAACTGTAGATGTTAATGATTGACTTATCCTCGATGAGAGCCTAGAAACGGTAGCTCTGTTCACTTGCCAAATAGTCCAAGAAAAATCAATTGAAATAAAAGGCACTTACACAGTTTTATAGCTGTATCTTAGCCACTTACACAACTTGACAGCATGACTTATATTCCTTTTAAAAACTTATATAGATTTTGGAGAGTCCCACCTACCAGTTTCCTGTAATTGAAGCTCAAAGTGTGGCACGTTGCCAGAAATGTGTGTGGATGGACAAAATCTGTACACAGGGAATTCTTTCTGGCTCTGTTAATTACCAGTCAGAGATGGAAACTTGCCTTGAATTTTCAATAACTTTATCATTGATGGACTTCATCAGGTAAATAAAATAAGTTGCATTTTTTAAAAATGTGGGTACTCAAATAATTATTGGACAAGGGCGGGATGATTTGAATATTGATTATGAAAATATAAGACTTCATCTTAAGCAGCCAATATGAATCTAATTGAGATGACTGTTGAAGATAGTAAATGGTTATTTATACACTTACAAAAAAGGGGCAAAGTTACAGGAAGAAGTACAAATCCAGTGAGAATATAGACAGTAGCTGCAGGTTAGAATAGTCTTGAACTGCAGCATGCGTTTTTGAGGAGGCTAACAGAACTAAGTGAACAGAAAGGTGTGCTGTTTTAAAATACGGCATAATATAAACGTGTCAAACTGAAATAAGTGATTTGCATTCAGAGACCCATGCATTATATGAAAAGGCTGACAAGTTTTGCAGAGGAAGAAGAAAGCTCATTCTTTTCATTTTTGAACACTGCATTTATTTTAGGAGTAGAAAAAGCAAGTGTTCTTTTTCCAGTAGACTTTCTGTTTTATAGTGAAATCCACCTTGTTTTGAGTAATAAAGTCTACCTTTCATTGCACCTGTTTTGTCTCTTTCAATGGGCAAATATCTCGATGCCGTTCACTTTGATCTTCCATTTACATTGAATAATGTATTTTTTTTTAAATTTAGAAATCTAAAGCAAGGAATAGAAAATTTTTTAAATGTTAAGCTGGGAAGAGGAGGGGGTTTGTTTAAACTAACCTGTATTTACTTATTGCTTGCTCTATTGTACAGTTGCTTCAAGATACGATTTTTTGAGAGACCAAATATATTCTGAATAATGTATCTTATTTTGCTGAGATATGTCGTGAACTTATTTTTAGGCCAATGGAAATGACTACAGAAGACTTTGGGAAGCTGTGGTTGTCCCTTTCCAATGATGTGAAACAGAATATAAAAATGTCATCTTCTCAAGATTCCCTTTCAGCAGCTCTGAATAAACTGCAACAGAAGCTGAAACTCCATATAGTTGACATTATAGGTGAGTGAAAGTATACTGTAAGGTTGCTTACAACCTCTAATTTGTCCTAGGAAAAGAAGTGCATGGAAGCAGGTATCTTACAGTTTAAGGCAGGGAATGTTGAGGAGCATAGTAAACACAGGAGCTTTGTTGTATGGACTTTATTTGCCTTACTGAGGGGTGTATGTGAAAACTGATGTAAAGGCACAAATGTACAGCAAACAGTAAATTTTACAAGGGAGCAAACTGTTGCACTGTGAAGAGTTCTGGACAGGACAAAAAAAAGGGGAATGAAGCTGTATGATGAATATGAATATGGGATTGCATGCAGAAGACATGATTTTTGGTGACATGTTAGAGGAGTAGGGATAAGAGTAGAAGAGAACAGCAGAAATGGAGTTTGAGAGAAAGATACAGTTGTTGTGAGCTATACTGTAGCTATAATTACTTGTTAATTGTTACTTCATTCTTTCTATGGTTTCTGTTTTAAGGTAATGAGGGAATACTGGCATGCCAGCTACTTCCATCTGTGCCCTGTCTGCTGCACTGTCGTACTCACTCAGGGGTGCTGGCTTTGTGGTTCAGATCACCTTGTTCTGCTCTTCCAGATGGTTTGCTTTATCAGTGTCAGAAGGTGATGGAGGAATCCTAATAACAATAAGTGCCTGCCTTAATCTATTTGGTGTGTGAAAAGCAAATCAAAGATATATACAGTTGCACAGATAATTACCAAAGCTAAATTAAGATACTGCTTCTTGGAAGTATTAAAAGTTATCTTCCAGCTGGCATATGCTATGTGGACTTAGGGAAGAATGATGACCTAAATTACGCCTGCAAAAATATGCTCAGGACTGTACAGTGACTAACAAGTAATCCATTAAAGTGTTGTTACCTGCTTAAGTGAAATGTATATTTCTTAATTTTGTTGTAAATGACTGAAAGGATTTATTTTTATTATGCAGCTTTTATAGATGCCAACAATTATTCCTCATAGAAACTACTTAAATATGATTTTAAAGAAGACATATCTTCATTATGAGGTCAGACTTGATCAGTTATCAGGATCATCTAATTTTATTTTGATAACTTTTCTAAAGCTATTTTTAAGCACTGCTGGCAACAAGACCTATATTGGTGGTTGTATAAAGTAATTTATGTAGCAACAAACGCATGTTTTGAAAATAGTTAAAAGATTTTAGTGTGCAACACACTTTCCATGATCTTTGATATTTACCATTTAAGTGGTAACATCTAAATAGGTTGTTCATAGGAGGCAGGCCTGTGAAATTGTATGGAAGCACTTCCTGGGGATGATCTAAGGCCCTTCAGGTTAGTTCCTGTCTGCAGTTCTTCCTGCCTCATGTTTCAGTCATGTTCCCTTTCGTCAGGGATCTGTGGCAGTCACTGAATATTTGTGCATGTCTAAAGGCAAGTTCCATGTGGATCAAGACTGAGATGACTGAGCTGGGGGTAGTTGGCTGTGGACATGTTGACTAGTTGGTAGTAGGCTGGTGGACATGTTCATTGCTCTCCGGTCAGTCCTATAAATTTAGTCTGGCCAATATCTCCATCCATGAAAATTCACATGGAGGAAATTTTCGTTTATTTTTACTTCTAGTTATTATTTATAGCCTCAAAGAGCCTTAAAGGCTCTTCAAACCTTTTAACTTGCACAGATGTGGCTGTATGGCATGTACATGGCTAGGAAGTGCAGTAAGGCGTAAGATCTGAATTGGAATAGCATACATGATCAATGTGTCTGTCTAGATTGTCTCCTTTTCTTCCTGAAATAACCTCACAGTCTTGAAAATCCAGCAGTCTTAATTTATTTAGATGCTAAATGAAAGCTTTAATACTGCTTAATATTATTTATAACTGGTCATGTTTTTTATTTAAAAACATCAAAGATTGTACACATGGTTCAGACATGGTATAAATGGATTCTACTGTGGAATTCTCTCCTTTGTGTTTAATATTAGCAAGGAAATTCATTGTTGTATTTCAGTGAATTGATTCTCACTTGATAAGCACTGGTTGTAAAAGAAAATAAAGTATTCTGTTACTTTGCTAATGTTTTGGTAAAAGTTCATGAAATCCTCATAAGAATGTTAATGTGCTGATAGTTTCTTTTTTCTTTTTTTTTTTTTAAGTCAAGCCACTTGTGTTACCACAAGCATAATCATATAAGCAAAGCTCCTTTTTTATTGCTGTTTCAGTACCCTCTTACTGAGGAATGTAAAGTGCACTGAATCTGTAAATATACTTAATGTTCTGCATACTTTAATGTTTACTTGGCACTTCAAGACAGTTTATATAAATGAGAACGGATTTATAGTGGAATAATTTCTGGCAAACTATTTCCCTGCTGGTAAATCAGACTTGTGTTACGCAATTGGACTTTTGTAATCGTGTGAACTGTAATAGAAGTATCTGTTTGTGGCCTATGCATTTAAACCATTTCAGCAATGAGATGTTCAATGTCCTAGTGTTTAAAAAGAATAGCAAAAGACAATAATGCCTTCTATTGTTCATGTAATGTTCTTTATAACCTTTTTCACTGTATGAATAGTGTATGTTAAGCTGTCAGTATGCAGATGCGAAGAGCTTTATGGTAACATCACATAAAGGAGTTTGCGGGGAATTGTACCTGTGTCAGTCTTTATTTTTAGATTGCCCAGCAAATATTTTTCTCAATCTTATCACCATATTTGCATTTCTTGTAGTTTAATAAAATTCAGTTTCATTAAAAAAAAAACCAACTTGATACTTGCTTAAATATTCTTTGCTACTGCATGCAGCCATGTTTCTGCATATTAAGAACTAGCTTCTATTTTAATTGTTTCTCTTTGCATCTGAACAGCAGTGAAGGGTATAACATTCCAGAAGTCTTGAATGCATTGGTGATATAAATGTCCTTTGTCTCCGTTGGACTCCAAAAGTGCAGTTACTTAGAAGGGATTTGATTGAAAGAAAAATGCCTGAAAGGAGAAAATAGCCCTGTTTTAGCCAAACCAGGACAAGTATATTTTTCTAAAGATAGATGAAATCTGCCGTTGTGTTATATTACTTTCTGCGGCGTATTCCCAACCCCTTCTCATCCTGCAAGGACCCAAGAGAATAAATTTGTGTAACGGATGGCACCATCTTGAGGTTTTCCAGTACTTGCAAGTAGCTTATAAATGACATTGCCTGACGGTTTCTAAATATTGGAAAGGTTGTTATCTCCTCTAGAGTCCCACTAGTAATTTTTCAGCATAAAAGGCTGTATTAGCTTTTCTGTGTAGGTAAGACTGTGCATTGTCTTTTTCTGGCATTGAGGTATGTAAAAGTGGAAGTAGACCTGCTTAAGTCATAGAATCATAGAATAGTTTAGGTTGGAAAAGAGCCTTCAGATCGTCAAGTCCAACCGTTAACCTAGCACTGCCAAGTCCACCACTAAACCATGTCCTTAAGAGCTGTTCTCTTCTCTGTTCTCATCTCCACTGAGCCTTCTTCCATTTTAGATGTTTCTTGTTCAGTCCCATTCCACCCCTTGGCTCAGATGAAACATCTAAGTGATGTGGCATGGTAAGCTTAATGCATTCGTTACATGAATGACCAGCTGTCTTGTCTGTGCACAGGGAGTTTCAGAACGTGGCATGATTAAAATCCCAACTGTGTGAAATGTTTGCCGCTAGTGACAAGTACAATTAGTTCGTGAGGCAGTATGTCACAACACATAGTGGAAACCTTCCTTACGTTGGTCTGGGCACTGGCGCGTCTGCAAGATGATGGTCATCCAGTTAAGACTTGCTTTTGCATTTCTGTTGCTGTGGTAAGAATTAATTGTCCTTTACCTCTTGGTTCTGTTCAGGGTCAGCCATTTATATGCCTTTCTGTCAGAATATTTCTCTTAACACAAACAAGATTACATGTTCAGTGCAATGTATTGTTCTGTAGTACAATTTCATTAGGATGCCAGAAGTGGTCACTTGAGAGTTTCTTGAACATTAGTATTTTTCTCTTTAACTTTATCTAATAAAGTTGGCAGTGATGAAGCAAAGAATATTGTGTCCTGCCATGATCTGAATCATAAAATTAACCTGACAGCAGTGTTTTACCAGCAGTGTGGCTCAAAACACCACTTACGAAGATTACTTTAAACTTTTATTTTAAGGCGGTTGACAGTTTTCTCTTTGTGCCGGTCTTTAATTGCTTCCAGTATAATTGCAGTGTGAGTTGTTTGCAAATCCTGAGCTCCCAAAAGAGTTTGCCTTTTCCAGGAATAAGGATAGGAGAATATATGCTTGCTGTTAAAACATTCTGGTAGGTTGTAGCATATCCGTGTTTAGGGCAGGGATTTGAAATCGGTCAGGGATGTGTCTTCTGTCTAACTTAAATCACATTTAGCTAAACTGAGCTAAATACATGGAAAACTTGCAAGAAGGCGCTTGGTAGAGAGTGAGAACTTAGCATGTTACGTCTGCTCTGGGCCTGACACAGGCTGCCTGTGTTATCTTCTAGGCACCGCTCAGGCTGAGCCTGGGGAGAGGCTGGTACCTGAAGGCAAGGAGCTTCTGCCATTTCTTCCACAGGGCTTGTGAGGGCGTTTCGGAGCCTGGTGACTTAACTGCAGTATTAAACACATTGAGTCAGCATCGTTTGTTAGCTCAAGCACTTGAGAACTTTGTGGAAAACCAGAAATTTCATTTGCTACTGACGCATGTTTGTGTTGTGTGTGTGTGTGCATGTGCGTGATGCAACAGCAATGTGGATTTCCAGTTTTCTTTTAAACCCTTTAAATCTACCTCCTACCTTCACAAAATCTGATTGTCAAACAGCATTAAGATTGCAGAAGTTGAAGGTGACAAAACTTAGATTACACGAATTCCCTCCTCTTATTGCTTCATTTCAGTTTACATTGAATGGTAGAATAAATAAAAGGAAACAGAAAGGGCAGTAATCACACATTTTTAATCCACGAGTATGATAATACATCATATACTTAAGGTGATCTGAACATTGCCCACATTTTAGCAATGTTACTACATACCAAGCTACAAGTACAAAAGTAAACAATGAATATACAGGATATGCAAGTATGAGAAATACTTGAAAACATCTCTTTCCTTAAGGCTACTCAAATTTATAAATAAAACAACAGATGTTCAGCTGGTGTGTCTAAAATACCAGAATCTGAATATTGATACTTGCAACACACAAAAAGAAAGTCACAGATACAGGATATCCCTTTCCTTTGGACCTCTTGAATGTTGAATAATCTCTGTTTTTCTGGCTTTAAAAAAAAAAACAAATTTGCCACAGGTGAAACAAACACGCAAAACCTGACGTGCACAGGGACAGGAGTGTTGGATACAATAAATACTGTTCAAAAGCATCAATTGACAAGTACGTGCTTGGGAGAAATGCAGCTAATGGTGCCTGTAAATATGGCTCTGCAAATGGCTGAACTTGCAACCCCAGATGTTGGTATTTCATTACTGTGTTGTGCTGCAAAGGAATTGTCCATTTTCATTGCTACTAAATATACTTTTTATAGTTAAAGGAAATACGTGGGGAAAATTTTCATTGTTACAAACTGCTCTGCTGATGTGATGTGCTGCCATTTTTACTGTGCTCCAAAATGAGTTCTCCTGGCAACAGATAAAAATCCATCTAGCACAACCCAAGTGAATACGTGATCTGGGTATGTGTGTTCTCAACTGTATAAAGGTGTGATAGTCAAAATTGCTGTTGCAAGAGATAAAATATAGTTATTCTGGGGTAAGGAAAGACAGAAGCAGCATAATAAAATTTTGCACAGTTTTCTCTACCACCATAGCATTTCAGAGTTTAAATGGAAAACATAAATTTTTCTTATCCTGAAGTAATGAGTGATCAACACTGGAGGTTCTCCTTAGAGAGGAATGGCTTTCA